AGTTTTGTCAGAATCCCCTGAGCACCCTCGATCCCAGGCATTGTGCAGGTACTGTGCATAACTGGATAAAATATGGAACCGTGAGTGTAGGAAGGACTGTGCACTGTTTGCCTTTAGGACGCATGTTCCAAATTGCAAATTCTTTGTTGTTCCCAAATAAACCCATTTTGATGGAGAAATATCCGGCTGTCTATTTGTCTAAGGTCAACAGAAGAAATAAGTAAGGGGTGGGAATGGGTAACATGTTAGAGGTAGAGGATTATTATGGAGACTTTGTCATTTGTAAGAGCTGTTTCAAGAACATTGAGAGTCCCTACATCTTAAAACCACTGAACATGAATTTTCTCCAATAAACTTCAGTTTTCCAAGAAAAATCACTAACCTACATCTTTTTCTGACCCTTCACTTGTATCACCTGCACTAGATGTCCACTTTCTTTGGTATTCACTTTTCATATAGGGACAAAAATGGTATTCCTTCAAGGGAGCCACTAGCTAGGCTACTATGAGTCACACACACACACACACACACACACACACACACACACACTCACACACATGCACACACACAGAGTTTTGAGCAATTTATGTCACACTTGCACTTCAGCAGAATGTTGGGACCTTTGAGATACTAGGGACTCCTCCAAGCCCTGCATGTCAGACCTGTGGCTGCCGCTGCAGCCACTGAGTTTGCGTGTGCTGTGTATTTGTCAAGAGGGTAGGTGCTCATTATCTCACAACATTCTGGCAGTCAGCGGGCCATGCCTGTCTGTCAGGTGTCTTTTTCTTGGTTCCCATATTGTTTACTTTTTAAATTTTTCATGATAGAAAGATTGACATAAAAGAAAAAACATTAATGAACCTCCAGTTTTAATAATTGTCCATATTTTGTCCATCTTGTTTTCTCCATCTACCATATTTGGGTGAAGGGGTGGCTGGGAGAGAGCATACTGGAGAATTTAAGAGAAAATGCCAAACTTCAAATTACTTCACTCCCTATATTATTTTTTTAACTCATATCAGATGCCAACTGAGGCAGGTAAAGGAATGAATGCCCCTTCCCCCAAAGATGCCCATGCCCCAGTCCTCAGAAAGTGTGGATATGTTGCCTTACACGATAAAAGGACTTTGCAGTTGTAATCAAATTAAGCATCTTGAGATGGTGAAGTTACCTGGTTATCTGGGTGGGCCCAGTTTAATGACATGGGTCTTAATACTAGGGAGGCAGGAGGATCGGAGTCAAGAGAAGGTGATGAAGTGACAGAAACAGCGGGAGAAAGGCAATGTCATGTGGGGCCATGAGCTAAGGAATAAATGCAGGCAGCTTCTAGAAGCCAGAAAAGTCATGGAAATGGACACTCCCCTACAGCCCCCAGAAGGAAGAAGCCCTCCCAACACCTTGATTTGAGGACGTCTGACCTCCAGGCTGTAAGGAAATAAACAGCACTATGTTTGTGGGGATTTCTTAGAGCAATGATGGCGAACCTTTTGAGCTCGGTGTGTCAGCATTTTGAAAAACCCTAACTTAACTCTGGTGCCATGTCACATATAGAAATTTTTTGATATTTGCAACCATAGTAAAGCAAAGATTTATATTTTTGATAGTTATTTTATATATTTAAATGCCATTTAACAAAGAAAAATAAACCAAAAAAATGAGTTCATGTGTCACCTCTGACACGCGTGTCATAGGTTCGCCATCACTGTCTTAGAGCATCAATAGGAAACTAATACACAACTTTTAAAAATAGGGGAATTGCCCTGGTTGGGGTGCTCAGTTGATTGGAGCATTATCCTGTACACCAAAAAGTTGCAGGTTTGATTCCTGGTGAGGGCACATACCTAGGTTGTGGGTACAGTCCTAGTCAGGGTGAGTACAGGAGGCAAGTGATTGATATTTCTTTCTTTCTCTCTCTCTCCCTTCCTCTCTAAAAATCAATAAAAACTTACCCTGGATTGAGGATTAAAATAAATAAATAAATAAATAAATAATGGGAGGAATGCACATTAAATGTAGATTCCTAGATTTCTTTGAAAAAGTGGAGATTTGTCAATGCTGTGCCCACAATCTTCCCTGGTAATGACAGGGTCATGATAAGCTAATGCCGAAAAGAAGCTACCTCAAAGTGGGATTTTTTTTCCCTTATATCTAGTCCTCTGAATTTGTGACTTCCTGTCTAGAATATAGATGATGAATATAGCCACTATAACATTGCTGAAAGCATGTGTTTTGAATCTAGTGGTTTCTAAGCCATGGAAAGGTCAGGAGGCACTTAACTTCCTAGTGATGTAAATATCTAGAAAAGTTTACTAGTTACAAATACCCAAACGCACTCTCATACCTATATATGCCACTTGCTATGATGGTGAGTTTGTGATTCTACAATTAGAGAGGTCTGCATTGTACAATTGGTGTTGACTGTTGAGGTTTCTTTTGCAAACTTAATATTATTTTTGAAGAATGATGCTTAATATTATTTTGAAGAGTGTGTTGACATTGAAATAACTGGTTCCAGTCAAAGTTAATGGATCAGATCTGACTAGGTAAGTAAGATAGGCACTTTGGGAGGATCATTTATAGCTTCCCCAGTCTCATTTAATGAGCTGGAAAAGTAATTTACTGGGTTTTAATGTAGAGCCTGGAAAAGATGTACTCCAAATCTCACAAACACTTTATGCCTTGAGACCATAGCTTAGTCACCTTGTGGGGTCTGGAACATTGCCTCCCTTAACAATTCATTTGGGTCTCTTGAAGATGCTGTTGTTCCATTGGGAGGTAACATAGGCTTAAATATTCATAAAATGCATAAAGGGAGAAATAAGCCATGTAGCCATTCACATTCTAGTATAAATAGCTTCACCGGGGATTTCTCCCTTCTAGAAAAGGAGGTTTTATTTGGATTTGTTGAAGGAGGGCATGAATTAATAAAGGTGATCGTTATGTAACAAATTCTTCTTGGGAGAACTTTGAAAAGGATCCAAGGAGAATGAATTGAGGTTGTCGATATTCTGGGCTTGCCTTATAATTTTTCCCAAGAGAAACCATTACTTTATCAGACTATTGGCATTTTCAAAGAACACCTTTTTTGACAAGTTTAGAAATTGGTTGGTCTGCCACAGTTTTCCCACCCTAAGTTTCAGTGAAGACCTGACCATCTGCCAGGTACTGCGCTGAGCACATCACATGCATGGTCTCACTTCAGCTCCCCTGTAGCATTAGGAGGCACGAGCTACTTAACCGGCCCTAAATGGTGCTTATTCTGCACTGTGCTAAGCAGTTTCGACATTTTAACTCAGTCCTCACAACAGCCCTCCTAGCTTAGTGTTATTATTTCCCCATTTTACAGATACAGAGACTCGCTGACTTGCCCCGGATCCCACAGTTAGTACATCGTGGAGCTACGATTCATGACCAGGCATTCTAGCTCCAGAGTCAGCACTCTTAGCCACTGTTGTACACGATGCTATCCTTACTTATCAGTGAGGAAATAGAAGCACAGAGAAGAATAACTTGCCCAAAGCCACACGGGTAGTAAATAATGGAGCCTATGAAACTACATAACCTACAAAGCTCACCCCCTTATGCCATCCTGCGCATCTCTGCTTTCATCACTCAATCCTGAAGCCACACCCACTTGTTTCCACCTCAATACAGATTTCACTGTGGCACCTAAGAAAAGATAATGATAAGAGGAGAAAGGGAAGGAGTTAGCAATATTTATTTAGCTTACTACGTGGTTTAATTCAGAATACATTTGGATAGTGGTTTGTTGCGAGAGGGTTGAATTGTCACTGAATTAGTTGCCAGTTTCAAAGTCAATCTCACCTCATCTAGAGCAGTGCTTCTGAATCTTTAATGAGAATATGAAGCAGCTCAAGATCATGTTAAAATGCAAATTCTGATTCAATAGGTCTGGGGTGGGCCTGAGGCTCTGCATTCCTAGCAAGCTCCCAGGTCATAATGATGCTCCTGGAGCATGATCCTGCTTTGAGTAGCAAGGCTAGAGCATTGGGTTTTTCCAAACTAAGCATCAAAATGTCTCCCGGAGCGCAGATGGGAAGCAGGGCATTTTCATAGAAGAACATTTAGTGTGCGGGGATCAATACTGGGCAGAGATAGATCTGAACTTCCCAGACTCTCAAGGTTGGAAAGGACTTTCAGGGTCATCTGGTCCAATCATCCAAGTGGTGTTTGAATCCTCTCCGATCTCTCCCTGCCAGGTCATCTCAGCCCTTGAGTTAAAGAACTATCTTCAATGAATAGAACTAAACATTCTAGAGCAGTGATGGCAAACCTTTTGAGCTTAGAGTGTCAGCATTTTAAAAAACCCTAACTTAACTCTGGTGCCGTGTCACATATAGAAATCTTTTGATATTTGCAACCATAGTAAAACAAAGACTTATATTTTTGATAGTTATTTTATATATTTAAATGCCATTTAACAAAGAAAAATCAACCAAAAAAATGAGTTCACATGTCACCTCTGACATGCGTGTCATAGGTTCGCCATCACTGTTCTAGAACAAGAGAATTCCAAGGTGGTGCCTGAGTCTGATCTCTCACACTTGTTCAGACAGACCTTCACCTTTGGATATTTATTCCAAAGCTTTCCAACCTCGCCCTTCATAAGAAAAGCAATGCGCTCTACCAGAGAACCAGCTGGGAGCACTTCGTGTTCCAGGCACCTGCCTCCCACAATGAAATAAAATGTTCAGTGCTGGCTGGCAGGTGAGAAGCAGTGGCAACTGTTTGACCCCTGCGCTGCTTCTTGGCGGCGTTGACTATACATCCCAGGCCTTGAGAAAAACATATTTTCAAAGATCAAGAATCATGAGACCATGACATGGTCTGTTTGGTTTTTTTTTCTCATTTCAATTTTGCAACCAGAACTGAAAGCCCTTCCTATTGTTGGGTCTTCTGATTCGGGGGATGCCAGCTTCTCCTTTCCAACCACTCTCCTTTGAGGCCATCTTTTGCCAGTTCTTGTCTTTCTGTTTCAGGTGCCCGGGGAGAATGAGAAACAGTGGAAGCCAGCCCTGGTGGTGCTGACTGACAAGGACCTTTTAATCTACGACAGCATGCCCCGGAGGAAGGACGCCTGGATGAGCCCGGTCCACATGCACCCTCTTCTTTCCACCAGGTAGCCAGGGCTCTGTGGTGGGGTGTGATGTGTTTGCAGTTTGAAACTGTTTTAATCAACTGCAATTATTTCAATATCCTACATTACTGCTTACTGTTGCCGCGGGAGCCGAGACTCCTCCAGAACACAGCCACCTGTTTTTATCCATATTATCAATGATGGCCAATCATGGCCAATACAGAGACAAAGAACAAACAGCTCATCCATCGTGAAGGAGCAGTGACGGTCCCAGCCTAGTCACCTTCCTTTCCCTCCATCCCATCCCCTTTGAGGTGAACTGTGCACATGTAGTTATAATCTTGACGTTCACGTAGAAAGAATTATCAAGCAAGTGTCTTCCCTTGGTAGCACAAAGAGTGGCACCACTGCTGAAACCGGTTTGGCTCAGTGGATAGAGCGTCGGCCTGCGGACTGGAGGGTCCCAGGGTCGATTCCGGTCAAGGGCATGTACCTGGGTTGCGGGCACATCCCCAGTGGGAGATGTGCAGGAGGCAGCTGATCGATGTTTCTCTCTCATCGATGTTTCTAACTCTCTCTCTCTCTCTCCCTTCCTCTCTAAAAAACCAATAAAATATATTTTTTTAAAAAAAGAGTGGCACCACTGTGCTCTTTAAGCTTGTTGAACACACGCCTCCATAACAAGCTCTTCTCAGTTGTATGATGCTTCCTGTGGCAGTGGGGCTGCCAGGGGTTGTCTGTTCCTTAGGACCTTCCATGCACATTGATGGCTCATGTGACAGTATCTTAATGCAGTGGATGCTCAGCCCATCTCTGAAAGCTTATATCCTGAGCGCAAGAGCACATCAAACCTGAGTCTTGCCTTCGAGTAGCTGACAACTCCCAGACCTGGCTTCTACTGCCAGCCTTTCTGTATGTACTTGATGATAAAGGGCATGGGTTTCATTGCCTCTACACCCCCTCGTCCTGTTTCTTTACCTAGAAGCTAGGAATGCTAGCATATTGTTTGTGACCTCCCCGGGATGGTGTCTGGCAGTATTGGGCCCTGAAATGTCTGTTGAATGAATTACTGAACAACATGGGACAAACTCTGTAAGGAATTTGGCCCTACAGACAGAGCGTAGTGGGTTGAGGTGTTGGGGCATCTGTCCTGAGCAAAAATATAGAATGGGTTCTCCATTCTGGAGGGATTGAGGTGCCAAAGAGTCGAGGCTCAGGTGTAGGG